ACACATTTTTTGGCTGCTTCTTTTTTCTCCCCAGTTGCTATGTTTAATGCGCTGAAAGAAAGCTGTTTGCTTGCAGAATCTTATTATAGAGCAGAAATACACTTGTTCCAGAGAAGAGGAATTTAATCGGTTCCAAGTCGAATGATGTTAACAGGTGTCATTTCACCAACCCAGGACTTGAAATAGGTTTTTATAAAAAGGACTAATACATTTTTTTCTGGCTCTCGCTCCCACCTGTTATATAAGACCGCATGCTCCTGTCATGGTCCTCCTGATGGTTTCCAGCAACTTGAGGAGGTGGTTCACATGGACTCATGCACAAGTGCTGTTGGCTACCACACTTGGCTTTTCCCTGCTTTTTAGCTTAAGCTACTCACTGCTGCTATTTGCTACTAAGGCCTGCAGAACTTAATATGAACTGCAACTTGATCTTGACTGGTGTTTTTGCTTCTGCCGGGCTCTGCGACACTGGCAGAAGGAAGTAACATCACTGGTTCTGTGGATATGCTGAGGTCCATGAGATGGCACAGGTGGAGGGAGAATCTCTCTCTCTCTTTCCGGCTCAGTGCTACACACTGTTGAGGTTAATTGTTCAAAGAGGTATGGAGTTTTGAGCCATAGCTCTCTGTCCTCTAGGGCCCAGACTCCAAGCTAGAGTGAAGCAGGATGGCTAATATGTGGGTACAGTGACCACAGGAATGTGCCTCTCACTGACAGCAATGCCCTCAATGTGGATGCCCGCTGAAATCATAATCACATCTGCACCTAAGCCGTGCACCCCATGGGCTGCTCCCAGTCAATGATTGAGCATAAGACGAAGGCCATCTCATCCCTGAGGCTCACGAGATGTCTCTGACATGTGACTGTGACTTGAAGCTTCCTAATAGCCTGATCAAACTTTCCTTAGAACTGAACTGCAGTCCGAGATGCTCCTACCCAACCTCCCTTTTCTTTTTCCCTTTTTCTCTTGCTGTTTGATGACTTTCTCAGTTTCTCTCTCCCTCCATATTTTCTCTCTCAGGAATTTCTCCTGATATATTTTTCTTTTGCATATTTAGTTCCATCTTGGCATCTCACAGGACCTGGCTAACCAGTGAATTTGTGTTATGTACCGTGGGATGACTATCTCTTCTTCCTGTTGCTGAACCACGTATATCTTTTCGGTCACTTTCCTTCAAAGGAGTTTTCTCTCCCAGGTTGTGTCTAGATCCTTTTATGAATAGGTTTGACATTGACCTCAACATCCTCCACTTGTGTTTGCCGGGCACGCTCAGACATGTCTGGGTCTCAGTAGGGGATGTGATACAATGGAGGTGCAGACTGAGCCCCATGCTATACATTCTAGAGCATCTATTATGATACTTCATTGGTTCGATGCACAGCTAGAGAACAAAAGAAATAAAAGAAACCATCCCTGCCTTTGAAATTAAAATCCAGTTAGTGAGTGAAAACGTCACACGTGTGCCAGAAGGGATTGAGAATACAGATAATGTTCATTACTTTTGAAGGACGTGGAGAGAGCTTCAAGAAATAGGGTTTCCTCTTTCTCTGGGTTAGTACTTGTGTGTTTAGGATAATGAAAAAGCATAGCAGAAAGTGGTTTCTTTCCTTCTGAGCAGCTCCACAAGAAGCTGGATGTGAAGATGTGAAGGTGAGAAAGGCATCGTCCTCATCATCATACTCATTACTGTGATGTGCTAAGAGCTTATCACCTTTCATCAGGCCTTGCTGATATCTCCCGTCCTGTGGTAGACTTGACATAGAAGCCATGGACTGCCTCAAGGTGTTCCCTTTTTGCTAAGTAAAAAGGTGGTTGAAAATAGGGATTTAAATGAGGAATAAGCAGGCACAAGGGCTCAGGCCTGATTCTCAAAGGGTGTGCTGTGCCGCAGATGTCTAGTGGCGGTGAGGCGGGGAGGGTGCAGAAGTGCCAAGTGGATCACCAGGACCGACGTCAGTGTGAACACTATTTACTTGGCTTTTTTGGCCCTTGGCTGAATTCTACATTAATAGGCATGGAAATAACGTCAAAGGTTTTTCAGTACGTCTTTTGTTGATGGGCAGAATAGTACCTTAAAAGAAAGTTGATAGGGGATGAGTGCTGTTAAGTCATGGGAATTCCTCCCAGAAAGGAAAATATTTTTTTTTTTAAATTTTTTATTTATTTATGATAGGCACACAGTGAGAGAGAGGGGGGGGCAGAGACACAGGCAGAGGGAGAAGCAGGCTCCATGCACCGGGAGCCCGACGTGGGATTCGATCCCGGGTCTCCAGGATCGCGCCCTGGGCCAAAGGCAGGCGCCAAACCGCTGCGCCACCCAGGGATCCCCAGAAAGGAAAATATTAACAGACTTTAAGGAAGGTTAATTGAAAGGGATGCATTTGCTTTGGCACTGAGGTTTGAAATCTTGGTTTTTTTTTGTTTTTGTTCTTATTTTTTTTGAAATCTTGTTATTCTCGGTTTTTTAAATGGGAAACAGCAATGTTGCTGTTGTTGTTGTTGTTTTAAGAGACCTGCAAATCCTCAAGGCTGAACTCTCCCATAGGCATTTGAATAATTGTCAGGTGACTTTGGGTGGCTTGCATATTTTTCTGGAGAGGGTTAGATCAAACTAATAAGAAGCTAAATTCTCAATGTAATCATACTCTCCTGTGACATCACAGGATAAGCCACTAGTATGCCGAAGCTTCTGAAGCCTCTATCTGGGAATTTGTCAATGCCTGGGCAGAGTTGTCCCTGGTATAAATTGGATAAACTTAAACAGGACAACCAAGTAGACAAATGGAACTGACTCATGATGAAGCAGTAGGATTTTCCCTCCCGGTTATGTTGAAATTGACCAATTCAACCAAACTGGCAGCGTTGGTGAGCTGTTTTGGAATATGGTTAACACTTCCCCATTGTATTTAATGTTTTAAATGTTTTACAGCAAATTCTATTTGAACATGTACAAAATAAATGCTTGTCTGCTAAATACAAGCTTTTTTTTTATTTTTTATTTTTTTTTTTTTTTGTAGGGGCGTAGTACTTGGTTTATTTCTGATGCAGGGGAATCTCCGGACAGTGGCAGGTTCCGGGCTGAGGGGGTGGTTTTCGGGGACGGAACTAGAACTCCACCTTGCAGGTGGGGAAGGCCTCGTCCTGCATGGACACGGTGCTGTTGCTGCCCAATCACATGGTATAGTATGAATTTGATTCTATGTGAATCAGAAAAGATAAAGGTTTTCCAAGTATCAGATTCCTTTACCAAAAATATCTTGGGAATTTGAGATTGTGTCTGTGCAGCCTGAACATGAATAGAAAGTAGCAGAATGGATTTTCCCCCCCATTGGGTGGGGAGATTAATGGCTAATAGTAATTTTCTTTATGATTTAATATTTTCAAATGTCCTCTAATAAGTATATAACTTTTTGATTGTCCCTAAAATAATTTTGAGTGGATTAAAAAAAGGTCCGGGTGTGGCTTGGTGACAGGAAAACACTCCCAGCGTTTGAAACGAGCTGGCAAGGGCTCCGAGGCAAAAGACAGAAATCTGACTACATTCAAGGGGTTTGCCAGATGGCAACAAATCAGTGCCAATGTTCGATTGAGCTATAATTATTATATACTATCTGTCACTTTACCAAGCTATCTTTTTACAAGGCATGTGGTGACAGAATGTTGTCTTAACATTTTCTTTCATTGAGTGTATGTTGAAAATGAAGAAATGGATGGAAAGTCTTTCTTTTAGTAACATCTCTGGAGTATGAGGCACGGTGGGGAGAGGTTTGACTATGAACACAAGTCTACAGGGAATTTTGCTGGTTTATGCCTTCTGGGAATGCTTTATTTTGATTGACCCTAACTGGGAATTCACCGGGGGTTTGCTCTAGTATCTGTAAGGAAGAGATTTGCTGAGCAAACACAGTTGCTGGGGTCCTATTGAAAGTGCTTCACTGATACACTTTCCAGTTCAGTTAAGTACTTCAGGGGCTCCACTCACCTCCAGACATCTGAAATGTTGATTGTAAGCTCATTGTAACAGCCTAGTTTTAGTTAGTGTTTGTAATAGAAAGTTATACAAGTCTATTTCTTGCAAGTAGGTTCCATTACTCACGATCGCACTAGTTTCAACCAGGTCTCCTTTTACCCTCTAGGTCTCTCCCAAGGATTGAGTTTTGCTGTATGAGTTTGCTGCAGTATTAGTTTACCGACAGAGAGATATAAACCATGGCTTCCACAGCTGTTTCAGATGAAACTGTATATTAATGTGTAAACTTCCAAAATACAGCTTAGCTGGAATGTTATGCAGAGCAGGTGACTGAGGAGATAGTTTTCACTGCTTGGACAAAGGTCAGTTTTGAAGGAGCTAGAGATATCTGTTGAAGTCTAGTGCCTGTGTGGTTTGAGAGGTGCATGTGCAAGGCAGAGAGCTCTTCCCATTTCAAATAGTTAAGGATATGGGTGTGAAATGAAGTTGTATTTTTAAAAAAGATTTTATTTATTTATTCATGAGAGACACACAGAGAGAGGTACAGACATAGGCAGAGGGAGAAGTAGGCTCCCCCAAGGAGGCTGATGTGGGACTCCATCCCAGGACCCCAGGATCATGCCCTGAGCCGAAGGCAGATGCTCAACCACTGAGCCACCCATGCATCCCAAAGTCATTTTTTTTTTTTTACATTCTCACATGATAAGTAGGGAAAGTGGCCAAATTCAGCACTGATCTGTTAATATTAATCTATCACTCTGGTTTTATGATGTTCGAAACACGTGTTAGAGCTATTCATGAAGATGTAAAAGATAAATTTTAAATTCTTATCAGTTGTGCCTGAAGTCAACTGGAAGGGAAGACTTTAAGTCCCTGTGGTGTTAGTACAAATAGGCAGCCAAAGGACTAGAGTCTTAGTCAACAGACTTCTATATTCCCCCTAAACACAAATAGCCTCAAACTTTTGGAGGTTGTTCCTTTGACATGTTTCATCAGTGACATCACGGTGATTGCCACCTCCCTCAGACTACTTTAGGCCCTGCCCAGAGTCCAGGAGTCCAGAGAGCCTGGGAGACAAGCGGGAGTGGGAGCCTGAGTTGGAGAGAGAGAGAAGAAGCCTACTGCAGCCAGGTGTGTCCTTGACCTTCTTTAGATGACAGCAGGATTTTTATACATAGCAGAGAGAGAAAGGAAAGTGTGTGTGTGTGTGTATGTGTTGTGTGTACAATTTGCAAATGAAAAACACAGAGGCATGTTTATATTTCTTAATGAGATAAGCAATACCTATTGTACCAAGTATTTTTTAAGGTGCAAAGAGTATTATTTATTCTTACTTGCCTTTTTTCCCCATCTCCTGGTATGCATTTCTCCCTTCCTAATTCTCAAAGCCTCCATTCAAAGAAGGTCAATGTCAGAGCTTTTCTGGTTTTTATTTCACTGATATGGCAATCACTTTGGATCATATGGTGTGATCTTAACTCTGGGGAAGATTTACAATGAGGCCAAAATTGTCATTGTGGGGTAACAACAGAAAAGCCAAAGGTTGCTGATCTGAATATCTACCTAACTTTGGTATAAATGTGTGTGAAAGTAAATTCCACTTCTTATTGTTAGCATATATGTTGATTAAATTGGATTTGTTAGAAATTCTCATCTTAACTCTTTGTGTTGTATCCACTTAAAAATATATAAAACAGCAAATATTCAAGTACACCATCAAAGTGCAAGAAATGGTAAGAGGTAAACTGTAGGAAATAAAGAAGTGTATGAGGTAGCCTGTCAATTCAGAGACTACTGGAGAAAAAAATGTAAAGAATCATAAAACCTAGTTTGAATACTAATTATAAAGCAACACTTGTGTACTATCACCCACGTCAAGAAAGAGATCATTGCTGGCACCTCAGAAGTCCATTTTTGATCATCTCTCCCTTTCTGCCCCACCATAGGTAATCACCATCTTGATTGCTAAAATAATCTTATTTATGCTTTTCTTTATGATTTTGCCACCTATGTCAGCATTCCTAAACTATAGTATTAAGTTCCCTGTCTTCAGTTTTGTATAAATGGAATAACATTCTTTGTGTCTTTTGTGAATTCTTCTTTGGCCTGACAATTCTATTTGTGAGATCCATCCATCTTGTTGTGTGTTGCCATAGTTCATATATTTGCTTTGCTCTTATAGCATTCAAATGTATGAATATGCCAAAATTCATCATCCATCCCACTGCTGACGAACATCTGAGTTGTTTCCAACTTGGGGATATTATGAAAATGTGGCTGTGAACATTTCTGTATATGTATCTTGGTGCACATGTGCTTGAGTTTCTAGAGCAGAAGCAAAATAGCTGGATGATAGAGAGCACTAATAGCCTTAATAAAAAAAAAAGTCAAGTTATTTTCCCAAAGTATTGAAATTTTACACGACTTTGTGTAGTCAGGGCAGTTAATTGCAGTAATAACTCATTTTTATAAATCACTCCTGTGTAGTAACCACAATTTTAACAACCATAGTTGTTAAATAGTCTGCCAATTCTAGTTCTGCCTTTAACTTGCTGTGTGCCATTATGCAAACAACATACCTCCTCTCTCAGTTTCTCAGCTACATTATGGGAGAGAGAAAAATCGTGGTAATATTTGCCTGAGTTGTGAAGGTCACAGAGTTGTGAAGGTCACACAAACACCGCTGTAGACGGCTTTCAATCACATTTTCTGATTGTTCTTGTTGGGTCACTATCCATGGATCCCTTTATTTAAGAGTTTAATCTAATAGGCAGATTAGGTGGGATAGTGATTTTGCCCTTCCTGAACTGGGTTGTTGTGATCATTATAAATATAATCTCTCTCTTCTTTCCCTCTCTCTCTTTTTGCGTATCTCTGCATTTCACCAAAATGCTCCCAAATAAATTAGGGTATGGAGTAGGATTGTATTATATTAAGAGAGAGGAGCCTGCCTATGATTCTCATCCTTTGCCTCTAGGCTCCAGGCGTGGATTCATCACCTTCCCATTCCTCTCTGCTCTTGTATACCTTCTAACACATTCTCTCTACTTCCTTTATCCATTTATTTTCTTCTGTTTGCTTTCTCCTTCAAGCAAATCTTTGTAAAGAGTTTCATTGGAATCTACTATATCCTGAATGTGGAGGGTGAAAAGATGGATAACAATTAAAAAGGAAATGATACAAAAATCGGTCATTATCAGCCATTTTTAAAGCAAGATTTAACAAGCTACTGTTGACACCATCTAATCTGAACCTGTGTGTTAATTACAACAACCATTCCATAATATGAAGAATGATTATTTGGTTAGTGTATACAATTAATAATTTTGTCCATTAATAATATAATAAACAATAATTATAATTAATAATTCAATCTGCTATTCGGGTCAAAAGCTTGCTAACCCTCCTTCCTACTCCCTGAACTCCCAACCTTAGCAAATAAACAAAACTCTCCTTCCCCCTAAGCTTTTTCACTTCATAGTATCTAAAATCTTAGTATCTAATAAATATCTAGAAGTTTATCTTTAATCTTAATTTCATTTGGTTTGAGTACTTAAAGTACCAGTTGTACCACATTGTTGAAGGTAATAATCTCATCGATTGCACTGCACATGCTCTCAAAGTATGATTTCCTGCGTGTACTATCTGTGCAAACTATAAAGATACCATCCCTGCTCTTTGAAGTGTTTACAATATAGGCACATCCTGCACTTGACTAAAAATAGCTGGCAGAAGCCCTTTTTGAAATAGAACTACCCATGAGGTTAACACTTGCTCTTTTGACTGAGTGCCTGTTATGCGAGGGACTTTTGGTTGACCCCCGTGGGCTCTGTGCCCAATTCAGGGCTTATAAGAGGCCAAGCAGCTGCTGTAAGCACTTCATGCGTTCATAGGCTTAGATGAAGACCTACGGCAGCCTGGCACCTGAGAAATTATGGGATCCTACTTTTACATGAAGTTCCAAGCAAGAACAAATACTAAACCATACCTTTTTGTTTGTTTTTTATTTTGTTCTGGTGACCTTGTTTGCTGGTACCCCATGTTAGCAAGGCAAGCACACATATCCTGGGAGAGAGAAAATATAACATTTTGTGTTTTATCCAAAGCATCTATACATTCATTACAGGAAAAAAATCAGGACTTTGTTGGTCTTTTTGACATTGGGCAGAAAAGCCAGTTTCTTTTCATTAGCCAGGGTTCTTCAGAGAAACAAAACCAATAGGATTTGTGTGTGTGTGTGTGTGTGTGTGTGTGTGTGACCTACATCTGTATGTTAATATCAAGATAGATATAGGTAGATATATGGATAAAATTGGCTTAGGTGATTGTGGAGTCTGGCAAGTCCAAAATCTATGGGGGAGATCAGCAGGCTGGAGACCCAGGAAGAGTCGCAGCTCTAGTCCAAAAATAGTCGGAGGGCTAGAAGTTTAAGATGAAGGTGTTGGCAGGGTTGACTTCTTCTGAGGCTTCTCTCCTTGGCTGGTAGATGACTGTCTTCCCTGCCTTCAAGTGGTCTTCCTTCTGTACATGTCTGTGTCCTCGTCTACTCTTCTTATAAGAACACGTCATAGTGGATTAAGGTGCATCTTAATGGCCTCATTTAAACTTAATTACCTTTTAAAAGACCCTATCTCCAAATATAGTCACCTATCGAGACATTGAGGGTTAGGATTTCAACATACCAATTTTGTTGGGGCCACAGTTCAGCCCATAACACTCTCTTCTTCCACAACAAGGAAAGAATGCTCATGTATCTCCATGTTTTCTTTGTCACTCTCCATTAGGTGAGGACAAGCAGGAGCTCTTGGGTGTGCCCTCAGAAGTCTGCTATCAGTTCTCACCGAGCCAACTCTGAGAATGGGGATATCCACCCGGGAGCTGTTTCTCAACTTCACTATTGTCCTGATCACCGTTATTCTTATGTGGCTCCTTGTGAGGTCCTATCAGTACTGAGAAGCCATGTCATGCTCCTGGGATTGACTGCAACCCTCCAGAGCTGCTGCTCTGAGCTCCCACTGCTGTCATGGGATGCTTTTCTCAGCACCCCAGGGCATTTCTGACCCACACTCACAATATCTGAGGTGCCTCCAGTGTTAGGATTGATTGTGTGTACTCTAAAGATGCTGCTTGCAAGCGCTGCCAAGTATTTGCCAGTGAGCATTAGATTTATTCCTCAACTCTTACTGCAAATGTGTTAGACAAGCCACAAGGTTAAAATTAAATGATTCATGATGGTGTAGAATTGTAACAAGCCCCTGATCTGTCTTACCACACAGCCCTTCCACCCACACTGTCTGCAACCAAACGCTAAATCAACTCACCAGAAGAAAGAAATGTTAGAGGAAGTCATTGTCAACCCCTGTAGCTATCATGTGAATAAAGTTAAGTCAACCACAAAATGACTTTTGGAATTTATTTCAGCTTCTATTTGTGATACTGCATTTGACCCTTGGCTGGGATTGAAGTGACAAATGTTACGGTATTTCTAGCGTTTGAGATAAGCCAAGATTTCCAACTGCTAAGGATTTGAAACCAAGTCAATTAAGATTTGTCACATTTCAAATAATTCTGTTGATTCAGTGTTCCTCAAACTTTCCCACTAAACGAGCCTCCAGGGCAGAGAGAGAATAAATTTCACTAGGAGGTCTGGGGCATAGTTTCAAGGGTCCACTGAAAGCACACAATTTCCTTGAAGTTTTGCATTTTATCTTAAAAAAAATCACAAAAAATGTATATTGTACTCTATAACACCCCTTTGTTTTAAATATTTACAATTATGTGCCACCGAGTAAAAGCAGGACATGAATCACATCTCTAAGAGTAGCATATTCCAGTTTGCTTATCATGGGTCGTTATGCACGTAGAGCTAGTCATTAATAAACTGCAGTTAGAGCAAGGAGGAAAATCGGAAATACAACTTTACATATGTGTGTATGAAATAGATGTTTCTTAAACACGTTGCTAGGATGCCCCATCCTAGAGAGACCACACTTGTTCCTTGTGCTACTTCTGGGGATACCACAGAGAAAAGGAACATTGATAAACCTCATCTTTCAGAGCTCCCTCATGGAGGTGAGGCCCTCCTGGCCGAGAATTCAGCCCATCTCTGAGGCAATGCCTGCCTCACCTTGTGGTTCTCAGCCCTGGCTGCAACAGCGTATGTCCTCAGGGGTGATTTTCCAAAATATTTACACGAGGTCCTCTTCAGACCAATTAATAAAAACCTCAGGGGGTAGAGCCCAAGCATCTACATTTCCCCATATTCCTCTAGCTGAGTTATTACTGGTGTTTCCCTTACTCTAAGGAGACCTCAGAGAATCTACTACTGTTTGTGTATGTGTTTGAGAAGGTGTGTGTATGGTGGTGGAGAGGGAGGTGGACAAAATGAGTGACAACAGTCCCTTCACCTGAGTCAGTAATGGTGCCAACATTTACAATAGGTGCCATTTATTGAGTCTCCTATCTATGACCCTTTCCATATGTCACACCATTTAGTAGATGTGGTAGCTGAGGATCGCAGATCTCACTAGCCAAATATAAGGGGTGAAGCTACGATGACAGAAGTATCGTGTTCATCTTTGTTGGGACTGCAAACAAATCATGCTTTATTATAGATCTCCAAACCATTTGATTGTAAGTTTTACCCTCACATTCTTTAGCATTCTAAAACATCAGGCTAATGAGTTAAAGGTAACAGTTTTAATTCTCTTTGTAATTTCTCTGCTTGTCAATCCTCATCTGCTTTTTTCTTGCCTTTATCTTCTTTTTTAAAAAGTTTTATTTATTTATTCATGAGAGACACAGAGACATAGGCAGAGGGAGAAACAGGCTCCCTGTAGGGAGCCCGATGGGGGACTTGATCTTAGAACCCCAGGATCACAACCTGAGCCAAAGGCAGACCCTCAACCACTGAGCCACCCAGGTGCTCCTGCCTTTCTCTTCTTAACTTGCTATGATTGGATCTACTGGTAGGACCCATTTGCAGACCGCATTATGGATTACCATTGTTGGGGTAGGACATCCATTAGCAAATATGTCTAATTTCCTCCACGTTCAGGAGTCCTAGTCATTTTGACTAAATTCCAGTTTGATTTGTAAGTCTCCTTTCCTTCTTTCTTTTTTTTTTAAAAATATTTTATTTGTTTATTTGAGAGAGCACAAGTGAGAGAGTATGAGCAGGTGAAGGGGCAAGTGAGTAAGAAGCAGACTCCCCACTAAGCTGGGAGCTGTACTTGGGGCTCCATTCTGGGAGCTAAGATCATGAACTAAGCTGAAGGAAGATGCTTCACAGACTGAGCCACCCAGGCACCTTGTAAGTCTCCTTTCATGTATGACCATCCCTGAGTCCTCAGGTACCTGAATCATCACAGTACCCCCCCACCCCCGTGTTGGTACCACCCACTCAAACAAGACACTAGTTCTCTGCAACCAGAACTCTTAATCCTACTTGTTAGCTAAAGTTCCAGTTCATGGGCTTGATCCAACACTAGCTTCTTTCTTTTTAGTTCATTCATTCTATAAGTGCCTATGTGAAACTATGATGTGTTGGGCATTATACTAGCCACTGGGGATAAAAACGGCTAATAAGACAGGGAAGCCCCCTTCTCAAGAAGCATATCATTTAGTGGGGAGACAGATCTATGAATGGGTGGTTATAATGGCATAATGAGTTCTTCAAAGAGAGAAGGGTGGGGTGGGTGTTGTTGGAAGAGATTCCAGGCAGAGGGAACAGTAAGAATAGAAATTCAAAGGTCAGACAGCACGGCTATTATTCCAGGAAATTGGAAATATCAGCACAGCTGAAGCACGAAGTACCTCTCCAACCACTGGCTGAAGCTATGGCATGTAAAGGCGGGTCTCAAGGTTCTGACTGCACCTGACTTCCAGGTTGGACCATCTCTGGCTTTCCTCACTGTCATGTCTCCTCACTCACTGGAAGGGACCTCCTGCCACCAATAATCATGAACAGTGTCTGTGCTTACATAGGAATTAGACACAGCCTGGGAACACTTCGCCACCCGTACCCACAGCAGTGAGTTGAATTCTCCCCACTTACCATCTCTCCCTTGGCGTGGCTCTTCATTGGGTGATGGTCTCTTCTTGCCATGAACCTTAGGCTGCCCATTCAAACACCTTTTAAAGTTGAGCTGCTCACATTACAGTGTCAGCCAACCAAATGAATTTTAAAAAGAAAGTATTTTGAAGTGCTAACTTTGGTTTTTCTCTCAGTCTTCCTTAATCTCACTACTAAATTGGACATCTTTTGGAACATCTGTTCCTGCCCCCAACCTTTAAAAATTTTTTTAAGTAATCTCTACACACAATGTGGGACTCAAACTCATGACCCAGAGATCAATAGTTGCATGCTCTACTGATTGAACCAGCCAGTCAGCCCTGGGATGTCCCCTTTTTATCTAATGATTTTCTTACATTGAGGAAATACACACATTTTTGTTAGTTGTTGACAGTCCTAACACCATATCTGGTTGCCAACTCTTCTCTCTAGGACTGCCTAGTAGTTGGCCTTTTAGGTACAAGAAAATTATCGATATAATTCACGTCCCAAGCCCTGGTTCTAAGGAAAGAGCCCTAAGATATTCCAACCTGACCAGCATTTTTTTTTAAGAATTTTTTTAGTCATGAGACACACACACACACACACAGAGGCAGAAACAGAGGCAGAGGGCAAAGCAGGCTCCATGCAGGGAGCCCAATGTGGGACTCGATCCCAGGACTCCAGGATCACACCCTCGGGGAAGGCACCGCTAAACCACTGAGCCTCCCGGGCAGCCCTTGACCAGCTTTTCAATCACATTTCCATCTTTGCTCCATTCACCCAGACAGGGATATGTGAAAATCGTCATAAAATGATGGTGCTGGCACTGTTGTCCCTTTTTTTTTTTTTTTAGATTTATTTATTAACTTAGAGAGAGAGAGAGAACATGTGAGCAGGGGGAGGGGCAAAAGGAGAGGGAGACTCCTCCAGCCGACTTCCTGCTGAGTGGGAGGTCTGATGGGGCTTGATCTCACTGCCCCGAGATCATGAACCTGGAGATCCTGACCTGAAATCAAGAGTCGACTGCTCAACTGGCTGAACAGGTCTTCTATTGTTGGCAACTATTGTCTTCTAATGTTGGCTTTCAGTCATTTTAGAAGGCATCTCAAAGGGACAGTCTACATTGCACTTTTGCTATTTTTTTTTTTTACACTAACCATGAACTATATCCTCTCACTGAATAACAAATTGGGGAATCCTTCTTTAGAAGGCAATGTCACATTAAAAGATAAAGGTCTTTTTTAATTTTTATTTTATTTTATTTACGATAGTCATAGAGAGAGAGAGAGAGAGAGAGAGGCAGAGACACAGGCAGAGGGAGAAGCAGGCTCCATGCACCGGGAGCCCGACGTGGGATTCGATCCCGGATCTCCAGGATCGCGCCCTGGGCCAAAGGCAGGCGCCAAACCGCTGCGCCACCCAGGGTTCCCCGAAAGATAATGGTCTTATCTGCAATTTTGTTTTCCTCCACTTTCTTCCTATTTATTTAGAATCAAAATAACAAGATTCACAGAAAGGAGTACTCTCTTGTTCTGCAAACCTGTCCCTTGGGTGGTATCCTGACACATCAATAAATGTTTCCAAACCAAGTATGGATATTCTGGTCTTTTCCACCCCCACCTTCATCCATTGACCATCAGATATACTGGAGAAATAATTGTCAAACTGTATTGGAGTGGCTTGATCTCGTGTGACCCCTCACTTTCCTTTTAGCTCATGGTGAAGGGGACTGATTTTCTTTTTGCTTAGCTGTCCCTTTTACACCCCTGGGACGCAATTCTTTGTGCCATTCACACCTTCCCACAGCCCTCTGGGCATGTGATCCATGTCATTCCTAAATGGGATCCCAGAGCCTTCCTCAGCAGGTAGGGTATGTGTGTTACCTCCTTGAGAGCTCATGATCCAGAATCCTGTCCTGAATGCCTAGAGTGCCCCCAGTAGATAGGGATCAAATAAACTAAGCTGGTTCTGTGCTTCTCCCCCCAAATATATTACTTATCATTTCTGAGATATGTTTTATCATTTTCCTGCTTTTAGAAAGTCTTTAAAAATATTTTGGCACTGGGATCCCTGGGTGGCTCAGCAGTTTAGGGCCTGCCTTTGGCCCAGGACGTGATCCTGGAGTCCCAGGATCGGGTCTTGCATAGGTCTCCGTGCATGGAGCCTGCTTCTCCTTCTGCCTGTGTCTCTGCAACCGCCCCCCCCCCCATGTCTATCATGAATAAATAAATAAAATCTTTAAAAAAATATTTTGACACAGAAGACTTTTCTCAGCTGACCTATGTCTACCTGTAGCTTCTCTTCTGTTTACCTGTCCCATATGCCCTGCTCCACCCTTCATTT